GACCGTGGATAAAGAGTTATGGGGCAAGGTGTGGTGGCTCACGCTTGTAATCCTAGCACTTTGGGAGGCCAAGGTGGACAGACCACTTGAGCTCAAGAGTTCAAGACCAGCCTGGCCAATGCAGTGAAACTCCATCTCTACTAAAAATATAAAAAAATTAGCTGGACACGGTGGTACACGCCTGTAATCCCAGCTACTCTGGAGGCTAAGGCAGGAGAATTGTTTGAACCCAGGAGGCAGAGATTGTAGTGAGCCAAGATCCCACCACTGCATTCCAGTCTAGCCTGGGTGACAGAGCAAGACTCTGTCTCACCAAAAAAGAAAAAAAAAAAAAAAAAAAGACTTATGGGTGAGTCATATGGGTGAGTCAAGAGATTATACCTGTAACCTAGCCAAGCTTGCCATTCTCAAGAACTAAAAGAGAATTAACTGAAGAAAGGTGAAACTGGTTAGAATGAATAATTAGCTACATGCTATAGCTAAACTCTGTGATTAAATGAATAGTCACAGGTATGTAGGCAATATATTAATAGTACAGTGTTTGTTAAGAGCATGACATCTACAACTTAATTGTTTGAGTTCAAAAATGCAACTATTTCCAAGTGATCAAGGTCAATACCAACCGTGGTAAGTCAGATTAACGGTGTGCATCTTTGATATGATGTGATAAAAATGGCATTTTATCTCTGTGGTATTCCTCCCCAAAGCCCATAACCTCAGTCTAATTATGGGAAAACAAACCTCAATTGAGTAAGACATTCTACAAAACATCTGATTAGTATGATTAGTACTCCCAAAACTGCCAAGGCCATCAAAAGCAAGTAAAATCTAAGAAACTGTCATAGCCAAGAGGAGGCTAAGGAGACATAATGATTTAATGTAATGTGATATCTTGGATAGGATCCTGGAACTCAAAAGAGCATTAGGTAAGAAACTAAAGAAATGTGAATATAGTATGGACTTTAGTTAACAATAATGTATCAACACTGGTTCATTACTAGTAACCCATGCACCATATTAACGTAAGATATAAATAACAGGGGAACCTGGATATGGGGTAGATAGGAACTTACTGTAACATATTTGTAATTTTCCTGTAAATGTAAAATGGTCCTAAAAAAATAAAGTTTCTTTTTAAAAAATGCAGTCATTTCACTTACTAACCTTGAGCAAGTTACTTAGCCTTTCTGTGCCTCACTTGACTCATCTATAAAATTAAAATTAGGTTGGTAACAGCAGCAACCTAACTCAAGAATGTGCTGTGAAGACTAAATGAGTTAACATAGTAAAGTGCTTAGAATAGTGCCTCACAGTTAGGAAGCACCTGTTTAGTATCAGCAATGATTATTTGTTAACACAGACGCTCCTTAACTTATGATGGGGTTATGTCTGGATAAACCCAACAAAAATCGAAAATGCACTTTCAATTTAGGATATTTTTTCAACATATTGTGCGTTTATTGGGATGTACCCCATTGTAAGTCGCAGAATGTACTGAATGCATGAGGCTTTTCCATCATTGTAAAGTTGAAAAATTTTATGTCAGGAAGCATCTGTACTTGTAAAGTGCAGTAAAATTGTATGCAAAAGGAGTAAAAATAGCCTGATGACATTAAACTCTAACTTTATAAATGAAATTGAAATAAAATTCCTCCAATTGAAAATATGTCAAAAATTACATAATTTCAAGGTCAGTAAATCAAGGGAAGTATAAACCACGTTTATACTATGGTTACATGTTGGGCCACCATATAGATTTTGCTAGCCCTGGTATGAATTCATCCTCAATTAAGGATCTACGATCCTATTGCTCACATAAAAGGTGACAGCTCTGTTACTGAAGGTCTAAAATTCCTCATGTTATAAGAAGACTAAGTCCGTATTTTAATACCAAAGTAATGACTTAGATGACTCTCATGGAGAAAAGGTAGCTAGGCTACAGAGGCAAGGTCAAAGTTAAAAGGCAAGAAACTTTTAAATCACTTAGGTGGATGGTAGTAGAAATTACCAGAACTCTAAGACTCAGACAGACATCTTTCCTTGTTAGAATACAACTGATAAAACATGACCAATATATGCTGCCTCTTAATTCCTGCTTTAAACTGTCCAGATCCACCGTGGTTAATGAGATTCTGAGTATGTAAAACCACTTAGCTGTCTTCCCCTTTTTCTAATAACTCAAAATTTCAGTTTAAGTTCTGAAATTCATGTAAATATTATGACAGTTAAAACAAGTAATTAGTATATCATATGTATTTCTTCATTATGTCTTTAACATTTTAAGATATCAATCTGTAGTATGCTCAGAATGTTTACTACATATTTACTATATATTATTTGCAAAATATTATATAAGAAAAAGAATTGTTCCAAAGTTATACAAAAAAAAAATTGATGAGGCCAGATGTGGTGACTCACACCTGTAATCCCAGCACTTTGGGAGGCTGAGGTGGGCGGATCACTTGAGGTCAAGACCAGCCTGGCCAACATGGTGAAACAGTGTCTCTACTAAAAATACAAAATTTAGCCGGGAACATGTCTGTAGTCCCAGCTACTTGGGAGGCTGAGGCAGGCGAATGGCTTGAACCCGGGAGGCAGAGGTTGCAGTGAGAAGAGATGGCGCCATCGTACTCCAGTCTGGGTGACAGAGCAAGACTCCGTCTCAAAAAAGAAAAAAAAAAAAAATTGATGAATGTCAGTGTGACATTAACAGTGACAGGCTTTGATTTGTTTACAGTAGATGAACAACTACTTAGAGAAGTCTGACTGCTCACTTAATCAAAAAGCTGAGTGCAAATAAATGTATCTTTATGACAAGGTCAAAGACTCAGCCAGGGCGTTGAAGGAAAATATAAAAATCAGATCTATTTAATCTAGAAAAAAAATAGAGAAAAAGAATGTACACACAAAGGACTTTTCTAAAATCTTCAAAGTTTGTTTTTTTCCTTATTTGCAATAAGAAGATTGAAATTTCAAACCATCCAAAATATTAAATTGCTTTGAAATATTTCCCCTCATATCTAAAAATTAAAAACATTTTGTCACAATACATTTTATTTTTGAAATTTTATTTTTGGAATAGTTTGGTCACTGAAGATGTAAACTGTCTACACCCGTTTTACTTTGATGAGTCTTCTTGAATAGCATTTTTTAAACAACTTCATTTATTTTAGATTTTTTAAAATGTCATTTTATTTTTATATCTCCTATAAATTAAAAATGTCAATTTAAAATTATTGAAGAATGCACATAGCAATCTCTCAGTCAAAAAAGGATAATCTTTTTATTTCATAATGAATAGCCCACCAAGATATTTCTGTATGCATACTAAAGAATAGCTTAATTTTATTTCAGTAATCATTAGCCATGCAAACTACCTTTGTTGTAAGGAATTATAGCAACCAATGTGTGTAAAATTTTTCCAAGATTACACATGTCTAAAAATTTTATATTCACATTATAATTTCTCCAGTAGAGTTTCTTATGTTAAGAGTTTCTTATGTGATTTCACTTATGTTGGTAAATAAATGTTTTATTTTTTTAATTTTGTTAAAATATTCTTGATATTTTGATTTTCAAATGAAACATTTACTGTTTGGTTCTCCACAAAAATAATGAATCTTTTACTATATAAATTGTTCTCTTTATGGCAACAAGTCTCCAAAGAAAATACAAACAATGAAACCACATTAGCTCAATTGATTTCTAAATTAAATTATTAGTGGCTTCTATTCCCTTAAGATAATGCCAAGTCATGAACTAATTCAAAAAAATTTAAATTAAATACACTATTTACCTACATACAGATATTCCCCTCTCCATTACACAAATGATGACAGATGACTAGAGTATACATTTTTTATCCTTCCAATTCCACATTCTTAAGGTTAGAAGAGGAAAAGGTGGTAAATATCCTCAAGTAAGCTATACTTAAATATATAAATTCATTTTGTCTCAATCCATATGATGCCTACATCATTAATAACCAACTTACAAATTACAAGTGTTATCAAAAGCTGCACAGAAATTTTAAAAGAAAAATATAATAATCAAATTAGACAAATGATGTTATTTGTGCCTTTAAATATTTAGAAATATTTTTGAATGAAGATGGATGAGAAAGATGACTTTCATGTTCTAACTTGTTACATAATCTTATTGTAGTTTAAACTGATCAATAAGAAAATCCATTTCAAAGATAAAGCCAGATTCCAAGAAAAAGGTAGATAAAGTCACTATGAAATTACCAATTTTTTCCTTTATTTTTTCTTCTAACTGATTTCCCCTTCTTCCTGTCCCCTTTTCACCAGATAATCACATCTAGCCCCTCTATATTTCCTTAAACTCTCCTGAAGGAATGTCCTTCATTTCCTTAAATAGCACACATTTCAGTGAAAGTGAAGGTAACAGGAATTAGTAGCTGTCATCTTAGAGACATGTTACTCAGTATTCTCTATATTAGTCTGGAGAGCTGTAACACAGACAGGACAAAGAGAAATAACCATAAGAAAAATATTATTGACAACTACGATTGTGTCAAAAAATTGGTAACTACAATGTGCATCTCTTTGTAGAACCTTTCCTTTTCATTAAATTAAAAAATGACTCTATAATCTGTTATAAACTAAAATGTCACATAAAATTTCATACTATAGAAATGTTTTCTGTAGTTTTGATATGAATATAGAAGGTTAATGAATGAAGCAAACCACAGGCAATGATACAGGAAATTGCTACTGTATATTATTTTCAAAGCTGAGCCAGATCTATATATAGAACACAAGATATTTCAAAATGAATGCTATTTGTTGTCTTTGTAATTTTACAGAATATTAGAACATTAAAAAAATCCTAGAAGTATCACATGTTCATACCAAGATATATGTGTATGCAGATGTACATATACAATCAGATTTTAAATAACAAATATTAAATTATTTAAAAACATTATAGAGCTATACCCCCGCACCCCTTATTCTAACAGTAAGAAAATAATCAACCTGCATGAACTGGAATCAGATTCATTTTCTTCTTCACTAGTGCCATCATCCACTTCTGGTCTATCCAGCCAATGTGCACCGCCACAATCTTCTGCTGTAAACTCAAATGCAGGGACTTCAGAGGTGGATGCCATTGGCCAAGAAGGTGAATTCTGAAAATCCAGTTGGCTGGACCTTCGGTAACCAATTGAAGCCAAAGGCAATTGTAGGCTACATGGATCTAAAAACTTTCTCCCACCGTTTGCGCCAGTCTGTCCTCGGTTCCAAAATTCTCCCTGCTGGCTGTCAACTGTAGAATTAGGAGATGATGCTTGATGGCCAAACCACCTCCATCTGATTTTCAAAATCTGTTTCACATCAAACTCTTTACGAGAACCAGACATCCTCAGAGAAACCAAGTGATCGTCTAGGCAACGGGCAAAAAGCACTGCACACAGATTTGTGCATCCAACCAAGACAAGAGAAGTATATGCCCTGCTGTATACAACAAAAAGATGTAAAGGAAAATAAATCACATTTTTATATATATCTACAATTACTTTTATGCCAATATATCAGATTTTAAAGAACAAAGGATAATGAATAAAGATGAAACACGGTGGAACATTCCGTTCAATCAGAGCAAACTCTCATCCACCTATCCTGAAGCAGCTAGACCACTTTCCTGGCTCTCCTTTCCCATACTGACCATTAGGTCTCACAAACACTGACAGCATTCATTAAAGTCCTTTCAAATGCAGAACACCACCCCCTTTTTCTTAAACCGCAAATGACAGAGACAGAAAACACTATCCCCGTTGCAGTATCTCAGTCTCCGCTGCTTACTATATTAACTCTTTTATTGCTGAAACTCTATAGCATTTCCCTTTGTACTTAAAAATAATCACTTTAAAACTAAAATGTTTCTATTTCTAAACCAAGTCCCTAAGTGAAATACCACAAAACAAGTTTTTTAAAAAGCATTTGTAAAATTAGATGAGTTACGGTGATTTTTCAAGCTGTGCTCTTTGGGTGGGGAATGAGGAGGAAAGGGGAGTACAAAGGTGGGGCTCCAGATTGTTGCCTTCACCTCTATCTTCTCCCTTCATAAAACAAATGGATCTAATTAATATAGTAAGATCCTGGGTAAGATTTCACTTGGATAAAGAATAATAAGTCTGAAAACTACAAAGGATCAAAAAGTAACAAATACTATTTTTCAAATAAACTGAGGCCAGGAATTCTCTATAAGTAGAAATGGGCCACTGCCAGTTAGTATAATATCCAAATGTCTATGACATTACTTAGGAAAAGGAAAGTGCAGCTCAAAAAAGCTACCAGGGACTGGGATGGGACTATTGGGTGTACAAGTGCCCTAATGGTGCCCTCTGTTGTTAGCAAAACAAACAATGGTTTGAACATGGTTACAGTTAAGGCAAATTAATAAAGCAAATAAAAATAAATCAAACTAAAAACTACTGAGTAGTTATTGTGAACAATGCAATCTACTAGGCATTGTCAGGGACACAGAGATATATACATCTTGGTTCCTAACCCCCAAAATAATTAAATCTAGCTATTGAACCAAATACAAAATATTTGATAAGGTAAAATAAGAAACATTAAAATGCTGCAATATTAAAGTGTGATCTATCAATGCAGAATTTGAGTTTTCAGGGTGCTCCGAATTTACTCCTTTATCAATTAATTCTATACAAAAGGCGATGCCTATGTAAGCTGACCAAAAAACAAAAACTACTTTGGAGGTTTACAAAAATATTGTGAGGCATATATCTTAACCTCACACAACTCTTTAGGAGAATACAAATTATTCAGAGAAACAAGAATGAGAAGCATAAAAAGCCAAGTACAATTTCATACTAAATAATATGGGGAAACATAAAAACTGTATGAAAGAAAGGAGATATCAGGATGGCAATGGATGGTATGGGCCAGTTTCATTAGGGAGAAGGCTGCTAAGAATAGTAAAATGTTGTTTAGGTAGAATGACAGATTTCTATAGAAAAAGATTCTAATAAAAGCATGAGGTGGGCATATCTACAAGGAAGAAGTGGGAAATAATCAGTTTGATCAGCCAGCCATACCTAATTAATTTTAAGGTGTAGTAACAGATGAAGTTAGATGAATACAATGAGATAAAATGCCTTGAGCATGCAGCAAAGGCATTATTGAATGGACTGTTGAACAGGACAATGTTTTAGAAAATTAACTTGGCGGTACTGTGCAGGACGCATTAGACTGTGAAATGACACTTTTCCCTCTCCCTTCACCTTTGTCAGACTCCTTCTGATCAACACCTTTCTAACTTCACTCTACCTATCCAACTTTATTTCTAACTATTTTCCAACATAGACACACCACTTCATCGGTCAAGGCAGTCTACATTATGGTGTTCCCTCGTTTATAACACTGTTTGCCTTCCAGAGAAACTCTGGTTTAAAAAACACACTTCATCCTTCAAGGTTTAGCTCAGGCACTACCATCTTTGTAAACACTTCAGTTACTCTAAGTAGGTGTTTCTCAACAAGGGAAGCACCTACCTGCTCCTAAAGGCTTCTGGAAAATGGGTAGTGGTGGTGGTAGATTTTTAGTTGTTGGAATGACCAGAGAGTGCTATAGGCATTGAGTGGGCAGGGGCCAGAGACAGCAAACATCTGGCAATGAAAGATACCTTTATTTTGTCAATCCTCCTCCACTCATTCCCATGGTAATCATTGTTGACGCCAAGCTTGGTACATACAGCCTTTCACACCTCTCTCCATGTTTAAAAATCATGGACAAACTTATATACACATATATAGGAGTTTTTGCTATTGCTATAAGACAGATCATACTGTATTCATCTTTTAGCATTTTGCTCATCTAATTTTATATATACATGGAAATATTAATAATCTTTTTAAGAGTTACATGATATTTCACTGCTGTAAAAAAACAATTTATTAAACTATCTCCTTGCTAATGGGCATTTAGGTTGATTTCAGGTTTTGGGGTTTTTTGCCATTAAAATAATGTTGAAAGACACATCCTTGTGAGGCTTTTATATCTACAGAATTTATTCCCAGGAGTGGACTTGCTGGGTTGAAGGTATGTGTATTTTATTTTATTTTATTTTATTTTATTTTATTTTAAGACAGAATCTAATTCTGTCACCCAGGCAGGAGTACAGTGGTACAATCTTGGCTCACTATAGGCTCCATCTTCCGGGTTCACGCAATTCTTATGCCTCAGCCTCCTGAGTAGCCGGGACTACAGGCACGCACCACCATGTCCAGCTAATTTTTTATGTTTTTACTAGACATGGGGTTTCTGGAGTGCAGTGGCATGATCTCAGTTCACTGCAACCTCCGTCTCCCGGGTTCAAGCAATTCTCCTGCCTGAGCCTCCTGAGTAGCTGGGATTACATGCGTGTGCCACCATGCCTGGCTAAGTTTTGTATTTTTTCAGTAGAAATGGGGTTTTACCATATTGGCCAGGCTAGTCTTAAACTCCTGACCTCAACTGATCCACCCGCCTCGGCCTCCCAAAATGCTGGGATTATAGGTGTGAACCACCGTGCCTGGCTATATTGTCTTTTTAATTTTAGTCATTCTGACAGGTGTGTAATGGTATCCCCTTTGGTTTTCCTTAACATTTTCTTCATTATTAATGTGGCTGAGTAACTCTTCATGTTTATTGGTCATTTGGATATCCCCCATGAAGTGGCTATTTAGGCCTCTATTTTTTTTTTCTATTATCAATCTTTATCTTCTTGATTTGTAGTTCTTATATTTCTGATATTTCTTTATAAAAAATATGAAGTAAGCTTAAACATTAATGCCTTTATGGAATGAAATTCAGCATTTACTTAAAAAACACCTTTTCTTCTGTTCCAACAACTTTCACCAATATAAAATTATTTTGCCCCAAAATTTATCCAGCTCTGATGACAAGTATTTCCCAGGAAAATTATTTATAAAAGATCAATATGTATTAAAAACCATTACATTGTTAAATTATCAAAATGGTCTTCACTGACTACTCTCTGTAAACTAGACCCTTCATCATTCACAAGCCCGCTGACCCTCCTAATTTTTTTCATAGTGCTTACCACCACCTGGCATATTAGATGTTTATTTGCTTATTGTCTTTATCCTCACTACAAAGTAAGCTCAAGTGGAGCTTTGTTTTGGTTATGACTGTAATCCCAGCACTTAGAATAGTACTTAGGAGACAGTAAGTGCTCAATAAATATTTCTCTAATGAATACATAAATTATTCAACAATTATAAGAGCAATAATAAAATCCAACAATTGTAAGAGCAATAATAAAAGTAGATACTTATACTGTCTATTTTTAAAATTATAAAATAAATTAAGAATCTAATTTTAAAATTACAGACACATTTACCTTGGTGATAAAATCTTTTTTTTTTTTTTTTGAGACAGGGTATCACTGTGTCACACAAGCTAGAGTGCAGTGGCTCGATCTCAGCTCACTGCATCCACAACCTCCTGAGCTCTGGTGATCCTTCCATCTCAGCTCCCAGGTAACTAGGACTACAGGCACCCGCCACCACACCTGGTGAGTTTTTGTAGAGCCAGGGTTTTGCCATGTTGCCCAGGCTAGTCTTGAATTTCTGAGCTCAAGTGATCCACCCACCACAGCCCACCAAAGTCCTAAGATTACAGGCCTGAGCCACGGTGCCTGGCTGGCAAAATCATACAGTATTTTTTCAACTTAGGAGAAAAATCACAATGTTATTCTAAGAATTTCTTTTTTCTATTCATTCTTAAGGCATAAAATTCTATCACTTGAAATCCAATGGCTAAACAGCAGATGTCTTTTCAAGTGGACACACTTTCTTCAAACTAATTACAAAATTATATTCTGTACCTCTGATTTTATAACTTTGCTTTATTTCAGGTTAAACTTGAGATACAAAAGCTCAAGTATTATTTAAAATAGATAATATGTATCAATTATGAATACATTTTTCAAAATGTAATTAAAGGACCCATGTGCAATTTGTTTCAAAACTGCTCAAATCTTAGTCTGTGAATTTAAAAGATGACACTATTCAGTATTACAATAGAAACACTGAAATGTCATTAAGATAGACTGAAGGTGAGCTAACTTTAACAGCATGGCTTTTAAAGCTATGTCTTTACTCAATTTAAATCATGGCTATTTGGTAGCTAGTTTATATTACTAATCATCATTACATCAATCTCTCTTCAACATAGAGTTTTTTAGATAACAGTATTTATGGCTCACCAATTTTAATAAATCTATTTCTAAAGTTTTAAGTGTGTGATATACACTGCATTAAAAAACATCAAGAATTTTACCATACTAACCCAGCAGCTCTCACCTCTCTGTTTTTCCTCAGTTATAAAAAGAGTAAGTTGCATTGCATGATTTTGAAGAGCCCTCCAAAGTTTAATAATTCTGGGATACTTTTTAAACTTTGTCAAATTAGGTCTATCAGAATTTGATTTAAAATATTTGAATATTAATATAATTCTGCCAGCATGTAAATTCCCTAACACTTAAAAATGTATGATGGTGGAAAATTTCAGTTAATTATTTACCCTAAATGATTTGAGATCTACTTTTACTAAACTTGATTTTAATTCTAGAAATAACACCAGATATTCTGTACTGCTTCTCCATTCTCATAAAAAGCAAACATTATAAATGTAAAAAATATACTGTATTTCTATAAATGCAACAAATCTTTTGTTCTGTAAGCAGAACAAAATGCAAAGATGAGGAAATAGACCACAAAAATCAATCAGGACAGGGACCACTATATCCCTAATAACCTGTACAGAACATGGTATTTAAATCATTTTTGAATTTAAATTTAAAAAAATGAATAAACTAAGGGCATAGACCTTGACTTGAAAGATTTTAAAATCCAGCAACAGAGCGTCTGGAATGAAACTCCTACTGAATTAAGAAGAGGTAAGTATGTCCTTTATTTGGGTGAGGTTGAGGTTTTTGAGGTGAGGGTTTAGAAATATACCTCAAGATTAATTTGGCAATGGTGAAAAATGGATTTGCGAGGGAAGATACCTCGTAAGGAAACCAGTCAGAAAACTCTACCATGTGAGAGGCACAGTTCAAACTTGACTCAAAGCAACAAGATCTGAAAGGGTGGTGGAAGTTGAGGATATTACAGAGGCCTTATAGGATGGCTGTGGCAAACAGAGAGGAAAAAGTCAAAGATGACAGCATTTTCAAGTTTCAGTGACTGGAAGAAGAATACTAAAATTAACACAAAAAAGGAGGTAAGAATATTGTTTCAGGAGGATTGAGTGCGGCTTTAGACATGTTTGGTTTTAACTATGTATCAAGCAATCAAACAGCTAGGATAGGATCTAGAGCCAAAAATGAATCTATTTAAGAAACCGGAAATTTAAAGTGTGAACAAGTGAGCCCTGGGTTAACACTGGTTATCTTTGTATTCTATTCACTCAATACCACAAACACATGGCACCAAAATGTCTTCTGTAATAAAAAACTTACAGTTTGAAATACAAAACTAAGATTTCTAGCACAGTGTTAAATCTTTCACTTTGTTAAAAACAACTGGGAAATACTTCTAATTTAATCAGTAAATGAAAATTTTAAAATGTCAAATTTAAATTTAGGCTGGGTGCAGTGGCTCATGCCTTAAAAGTGTTAAATTTAAGTAAATGCTAAATTTCATGGCATAAAGGCATTAATGTTTAAGCTTACTTCTTATTTTTTATGAAGAAAATATCAGAAATATAAGAACTACAAATCAAGAAGATTAAAAAAATTCCCAGCACCCCTGAGGGTGGATCGCTTGAGGTCAGGAATTCGAGACCAGCCGGGCCAACATGGTGAAACTCTGTCTCTACAAAAATACAAAAATTAGCTGGATACAGTGACGTATGTCTGTAGTTCCAGCTACTCAGGAGGCTGAGGCAGGAGGATCACTTGAACCTGGGAGGTGGAGGTTGCAGTGAACCAAGACTGTGCCATCACACGGTCGCCCGGGCAACAGGGCGAGACTGACACACACACACACACACACACACACACACACACACACACACACACACAAAATTTAAATTCAGTTGCATTATACCAAGAGATCTGGCTCTACAAATCACATGGTAGACTGAAAACTAGGCAGTCAAGAACTTTGATATATGCTCAAAACTGAAGATGACTTCATGGTAAAAGCCATATAATATAGAGATTTTATTTCTTTGTGTATCCTAAATAAATCACTGTAATATATATCTATAAGTATACATTTATGAGAGAAGATCAAGATGAAAAAGATCAAGGCAAGAAAAGTAAATGAAGTAAACTTTAAGCTTTAAACTAAACTATGCCCCTTTACCATATCACTTACAATGCAGGAACTGACATTAAATTTAAAAATTATAATACAGCATGATGAAGCTACACACAGAATGCATAGGATAAGCTAAGATAGCAAGGCAAGCTTAGACAGCTGCAGAGGTCAAAGACTGATTTCCAGTCAACCTGGAACTCCGAGTACAGTGAAAGCCCCCTTTTCAGATGAAACCTACAGTTGGTCCACTAAAGAAAAAAGTCAATAATCATAAAAATAATATATACATTCCCTTAAAGATGTTCTTTTAACTTGAACATATACATGCACATTCATTTGTAAATCTTTTTATATAGGGTTAATACCACATATTTGATAGGGGTCTCCTACTGAGTTTGGGTCCTTTTTCTTGCATAAGTCATACCCATAATGATCCATCATCTATGATTTCCACTTACAGTTTCTATAAATGGAAACAGAACTTAAAAGCACTTCTGAAAGAATATGAATACAGAATCCATTAGACCAGTGGTCTGTCCACCATAGGAAAACTTGTGCCAGACTGTAAATTAATGCATTGCTTTCTTCAACGAGAAAGTCTCACCATGAAAACAAAATATCTGCTGAACCAGTGTGCATTAGTTTGCCTAATGTAGTTAATTAATATTCTAATGTGCGCTCCTTATATCCTTGAGGACCCCTAATAGTCTGAAGACCAGGTAGCTGGTTGATGGCCCTTGACAGGCACTGCTTTAGACTTTGATGACTTCTTCCCTAGTCTCTTACAATTATCCAGCCTTTATCCAACTTGATAGAATTTTTTAAATAACTCATTTACAGAGAGGCATCGCAAAGCATTCAACTTAATTTTCACAGGAAGAATGATCTTTTCTTTACATTTTCATCAATTTATATTGATGTTTACTAATGTTTTATAATTACTATAACAAGTATAATTGTTAAAAAACAGGTTTGTGAATAAACAGAACCAACTTCTGGTAAGTACTCAATTCAACGAGTAAGCAGAGATGTACAGGTCAGCTACGGAGCTGCCTACTTACCCATGAGTGTTCAGTTGGCCTGTGGTATCAGTAAGTACACTTTACAGAAGAGTGTGCATCAGGTTAGAGCTACAAGTCAGTTCAGAAGTAGTTGGTGGAGAGTCCTTCTGCTGTTATTTTCCCACATTATCACTTATTAATGGTAGCCTAAGTGACACAGCAGAAAGAGTCTGAGTCAATAGCTAAGCCACTCACCAGCTAGCTGTATAATTTGGGCAAACCATTTCACCTCTTTTGTCTTCAGTTTTCTCTTCAGTAATAGGATTAAGTGGCACATCTAAGTATTGAGTAATGGTCAGGATTTGTAGCAGCAGCTACTATCTCTTAAGTGCCCAAATGAGCACAATAATATATAAAATACTTTAGACTGAGTGGGGCATTTTGCTGTCAGAAACACTCCGTCAAACAGGGGTCATTCCTGCCCCCAGCCTGCCACTCCTTATAGACGAAGATATTGAAGTAAGATTAATTAACCTGACTTAATACCTGTATCTGGTGAGTGGCAGGGTCCAGGATGGACTCTAAAAACCAATACTTTCGAATACACCACACTGCTTCTTCCTTTCAAAACAAGAAGTATTCTCATTCACTACTCACAAACACCTTGTGGGGCAGGTAGAGTAGTTGTGAAAATGAGGAAGTAGATTGAGAGTATAGTTGACTTGGACAAGGATAGATGTCTAGTAGAGAGTAGCAGAGCAGACAAATTCTTTGCTGATAATATCTGACCAAACTAAAAGCAAGTAAGACACAGAAGTGGGGGAAAAACAGAGTACTTAAGGAACACATGATTTCTTATATAACAAAATATTCAGTTCATCATAACTGCAGTTAAACGCCAAATGACATTTATTCACCAAGTACAAGTGCCTCACAGATTTCTCCCTACTTAGCACCCTCCCAATTTCTGCTGCTGTTTCTTACAAAGTATTGGCCTATAGTAACATCAAAAGAATCGTTTTATTCCACAACTACCTATCAGTACTGACACCTGGTAGTAAAGCAAGGGACATTTTAAAACTCAGCTAAATTAACATTATGTAGCCTTTATTTAAGCTCACCTGTAAAAGTTATTACGGTTGATACTACTATGGTATAACAAAATCATTACTTTTGAAAATAGTCCTTTGGCTTGATGACTGGTAAAAAACAAGGTTCCCTTGCTATCCACTCCTTAGATTTTTGTCAATGTAAGTATATATTTGCTGTGCACAAGGATGAAAACTGTAATATCATTTAAAAAATGATGGAAAACCACTGCTAAATTCTTGCCTGATCCATTATGGTTGGCATGTGCTGAGACACCCAATTATCTTATGTGCCATAAAAAGTAACGATCTGGATAACCACAAATTTGTCTTTTACTGACTTCAACCAAATCCAGAAGTGCTTCAACCAAATCCAAAGATATGTGTTTCACCACATAGCTTTATGGTGATGGAGGTTAAAAAAAATTTTAATCAATCAGTACTCTCCAGTCACAAGTATCATCAATTAAAGTTGCCTGTGCTCTCTGAACACATAATAAGCCAATCACAGATCAACTTGATTCTGCTGTAGGACCAATCCAGATTTTATAAATTATATATTTTTGTTAGAACAGCATAAGTCAGGTAGGGAAAGGGTAGTAATGGGCAGCATGAGCAATAAAGAGGAGAAAATGTGAAGCACTGTTTCTCAATTGCTCATAATTAGAAATGGTTAATCACTACAAATGTTAATTAAACCAGTTAAGCATTAAACTGCCTAGCTTGCCCTAAAACTAGACCCAAAGAAAAGCCACCAATAACCTGTTCAATAATTTAACTTCAGCAAAAAGCAAAAGGAGGATGTTAGTGGTCAAATGGAGATTAGTGGAGATCAGTCGAGGCTAGAATTTCTTGGTGTTAATCATGCATTAGATTAAATCCAATGTTCTTAGGAGGCACTTCAGAGTAGTCCTCCCAAACTCCAATGGGGGGAAGGAGATGACAAATAAATTTAGGACAAACTGATTCAGGCCGCTCCAAAGAACCATGCGGAAACCAGGCGAGCAATTCTAAACTCCTGTGGAGCAGAGACTTGAGTATTCCTGTTTCCTGCTTATCAAAGAAATAGCTCCCCAAAGAAAGGCAAATATTAAGTAGAAATGAACCAACCAACCTCAAGTCTAAATCCTCTGCTATTCTCCACGCTATCGCCAAAGTAGCCTTCTAAAGTGCAATTCTTGACTACATCACTCTACTTAAAATGTTTTTCTTTGTTTGTTTTCGATCAGCTACAAGATAAATAAAAGCTAAGATCTTTAGCATGGAATTCAGGATTTTTAATGATCTAGTAGTCTTGCCTGCCTTTCCAGGCTCACCTTCCTCTCAACTTATTTCACTTCCTTCATCATAAAAAGGAGTAAATGGGCCGGGTGTGGTGGCTCACGCCTGTGATCCCAGCACTTTCGGAGGCTGAGGGGGGGGGGTGGATCACGAGGTCAGGAGTTCAAGACCAGGCTGGCCAATAGTGAAACCCCATCTCTAGTAAAAATACAAAAAATTAGCTGGGTGTGGTAGTGGGTGTCTGTAATCCCACCTACCTGGGAGGCTGAGGCAGGAGTATCACTTGAACCTGAGAGGCAGAGGTTGTAGTGAGCCAAGATTGCATTACCACACTCCAGCCCAGGTGATAGAGCGAGTCTCCATCTCAGTAATAATAATAATAATAATAATAATAATAATAATAATAATAAATTTAAAAAGAGTAGAAACACACTACATCAAAATAAGCAAAAGAAATATTATGGAATACTTCTTAATGAAAGGCACTGCAGATAATACAAGTATGAGTAGAGTTAAGCTTCAGTTAACCCTTTTGGCTCTGTTTCCTGGCATCTGTAAAACTAGGTACCTCAACTATGTTACTAGATAACACTACTTATAGTAAAAATGATCCCTGTGATTAAATTTGCATCAAGACTCAGGAACCATAAATGAACCATAAATACCTCATAAGGAAGCTATAGCTTTGACTTCCCTGTGATGGCTCTTTTAATTAGCATAGCTTTTACAGAAGAACCCTGGAAACTCAGTCTATGGAGTTTGTGTTAGAGTTACTGGCTCCTGTGGGATGTGTTTTGTTTTGTTTTGTTTTGTTTTTAAGCTAAGGCAGCTCCTGCACCACCTAGCGTGAGCTTCCTCTGAGGTGCTGCCCAGATGGCTATGAGCTGCCTTCGTGGACTGCTGTGAAAATCACTCCCACTGAGGAACATTTGATGCTGCCCTGCTGGCAAGCTATGATTCCTGTCTGATAGCCTTCTGAGTAAACAAGCTTTCTGAACTTGAAGTTTAGTTAAATCCAAGAAAACCCCTTCGTTTGCACAGCAACAAGTGTCTAAGAGTCTTAATATGACATTCCAGACATTCTTCAGTCTAAACCTAATCTCATATACAGCTTTTACTCATCTTTTTTTTTTTTTTTTCCTGGGAAATCCTCTTCAGGTAACATATACCACCTCCCCATAGTTAATCTCTTCAGCCACTGCTGAGGTGAAGCTATGGATATTTTTCAACCATGAAGGAGATATCGCATAGTGTGAAAATGCAAGGGAACTATGCTAGTGAAGCTAAGTAAACAAGTCTAACAGAAAATGATAGAAATATATTGAGAATAAAGTTAGATTAAATTGGTGAAGAGATATGGTAATAGCACATTAAAATGTAAAATGTCCAGATAAAGAGTGTCTACGAGACCAGTTTGGATGGAAGAAAAGAGCAGAGCTAGGTAGTATATTACATATGCCCTTCTTCCTACATTATTACCCATGAGGAGAGGCCAGGGAGCCCTGTATCAGGATCAAAGCAGATGACTTGTAAGAGACAATTCAGTCAATCCTTACCCTCGGAGAGGAAGAAGGGATGGATGAAAGGACTACAACGGAGATGGCATTTGCCAGTGTTCAGGGAGGGAATATCGTAGTTACTTAAGTCACATCCAGTTATACCTTCTTATCCTGATTATCATAATCAGCCTGTTCCACTAGAATTTGCAAGCTGATGTTAATTGTGTAGAACTTTTCATGGCACCTTGTTTCTTTGATTGAAAGCTATTATAACTGCCTCTTTCTCTACTATAAAGTTGTCAATTACGCTAATTTGTTATACTTTAAGAGTCAACTGCATTATTTCCTTAGTGGTTAAGAGCTTACGAAGACAATGCACTTAAAAATTTTTAGATCGCCTAAAATTGCTAAAGCCTCTAGTTTCAAGTTCATAAACTCTTAGATTAAAACACCCAGTAACAGCAAAATAGAGAAAAATCAGTCAACAGAGAAGAAGAAAGAAATACAAGTGCAGAAAGAGACACTAGCAAGAAATCATATAGACCTGGAGAGATAGAAAGTAGCCCTAGCTCCTAGCTTTCTGTTATTGGTGCCAGTTGCTTTTGAGGCCCAGCTGCACTTCTCGCCCTTGGCCTCTGATATAAACTATATTCCTTTTCTAACACGACATTCTTTTTGCTTATGCTAATTTAAGTAATATTGTTTAATTTGTCATGAAATACTCCTTAAGTCCAAAAAGGTAGAGAGGAACAAAGTATAACAGTTTATATATTTAGTATTTTTCACTATTTTATATATGTGTGTATACACATCATTTACACACTGTAAATGACGCCTTAAAGAGAAAGGGAGAGAGAACTCAAGTATAGTTATTTTCTATTGCGATTGTAAACTCCCCATTTATTTATTTATTTATTTATTTATTTTCGAGATGGAGTCTCTGTCGCCCAGGATGAAGTGCAGTGGCGTGATGTCCGCTTACCGCAACCTCTGCTTCCCAGGTTCAAGCGATTCTCCTGCCTCAGCCTCCAGAGTAGCTGGGATTACAGGCGTGCACCATGATGCCCAGCTAGTTTCTTTTGCATTTTTTGTAGAGATGTGGTTTCACCATTTTGGTCAGGCTGCTATCAAACTTCTGATCTCAGGTGATCCGCCCACCTCAGCCTACCAAAGTGCTGGGATTAAAAGCATGAGCCACCACGCCCGACCCCCATTTATCTTTTTATCCTCACAGGCCTAACACAGTGCCTTATACTATTTATTTATTTATTATTTATTTATTTTTGAGACAAGGTCTTGCTGTTCCGTAGGCTGGAGTGCAGTGGCCTGACCATGGCTCACTGCAGTGTCAACCTCCCAGGCTCAAATGATCAATCATCCCACCTCCCTACCCCCGCCCCCATGGAAGCTGGGACTGGAGGCACATGCCACTACACCTAGCTAATTTTATTTATTTTTTGTAGACACAGGGTCTCGCTATGTTGTCCAGACGGGTCTCAAAATTCCTGGACTGAAGAATCCTCCCGCCTTGGCCTCCCAAAGTGCTG